ATCAATTAACCCTAGCACGAAGTGTAGATCAAAGCTAACTATATAACTCTACCATCATTTATAACTAAACTACCTTCCCATAAACAAAAGAAGTTGAAAATTTCTATCTTAAATTTTCCATCCTCTCATTCCACACATTTACTATGGTAAGCTTTAGACAAATATAAGAGTAATACTGCAAAAATAATCACTTAAAATGTTTTGTGATCATCCTCTACGAGTTGTTCATTAGGTTCTTCAGTTGCTTATCAAAGTTGTCGGGGTCGTAATTGATTATCTTGTTTCCCCTTCAGCTCTGTAAAAATTTGCAGTGATATGCTAGATAACAGTTTAGACTTATCTAAAGTTAAAAGATTAAAATGTTCAGTTTTCAGCAATACCTTATGGAAAAGGTGAAACCGTAATTTACTCCTATCAAACGACAGATATGTGTTAGGAATTTCAAGGAACCATTCAAATTTACATCTACCTACTTTTCATTTGCCCAGCATCCATCCACAACGTTAATGAAGGTCTGAATCGGAGAATTCAACTTTCAACAAATTTGAAAGTCAGAGGTTCCAAGAACCTCTGAATACTACTGATTAATTCATATTTCAACTACTCACTCAACGGTCAACTGAAGTTGATCGTAGGGTTTAACTGGATTGTTACAATCATAGTAGGTCTGTGCAGTAACATATGTAAAACTTGAAAATGTTGTGGTTCATTTGTTTTGAAAGCTTGTCTGTTTTTAGTTGCGGATTAAAACTGAAAGTTCAAACAGTTGGATAATGTTAGTAGTCATCTTTCACGTGATTGTTGGTCTTAATATAGTGAACATTTGCCGACAATTACAAGAAATCTGTTGAGATAGTTTTCAGTCCAATTACGGATTGTCTTCCTCTTAAATTTTCTTAACATATATTCGGCTTCACGCGCGGATGACTCCAGTATTCACTTACGTATCTTCAATTCATTTCCTTTATCAGAGATAAACTTAAAGACCATTTGAAACATCATGATCGTGCAGCTAGGAATTTTGAGTGTCAACAGTGTCAGCAACCTTTTGTTCAAAAGTCTGATCTTAACAGACATATTCGTGGAGTACATCAAGGTGAACCAGGGGTTGGGATAAATATGGCAGTAAAACGGAAAGCACCAGGTTAGTTATATTTTCATGTAATTAGTTTCTCACGTTTTTTAAGATTCTAGTGAATACCACTAAGGTTACTTATAGAAAACGATAAATCGGTCGTTAAGGTTGTGATGGTTGGAATAATTGTCACCTATGTGCAATTTTGACCCTGCACACGACAACCAAACAAAATGAAGCGGTAAACTATTTACTCTATTATAATCCATAATGGAAGCTGTGTTTCGTTACCTGTCGTTTTTACTGGCTTACATGAGAAATATAAAGTTTTCTACGATGAAAATATCATTCCATCGTGCTACGGGCGTGTCAAGCAGTCAGTCATAATGAGAGGAAAATTGCACCATAGCTAAAGACTTACTTTCAATTAATTCTATGACATAAATTATTCCAAAATATCATATTTATTTATTTGAACATATAAATATTGGTGTAAATGGGCACCACATATTAACAATGGAGCTGTGAAGAGATAGTGAATGTAAAGTGCGTATAAGACAAGAAAGAACAGAAATTAGTGTATGGGAGCGAAATAATAATAATAATAATGGGAGAAACAGTTCAGTTAACAAAAATAAAACCAGAAAAAATTCTTCCTGTTGACGAAGTAACGTTCACTTTTATGAAGGGTTACAGCAGAATCTCCTCTCGCTTCTATTCTGAGCCATGTCTGATAATGTCTTAAGCCATCGTGTTGTACCAACTCTAGGATCCCAACCAGGGAGTTGTGAAGGACCAACAGCTTTCTTTCATATCACGGCACCAAGTGTGCTGACCACCTCTCCGTTTTTTCCAACCGTTCCCAGTGTCAGAAAATAATGTATGATATGGAATTCTCTGAGATGACATTCGTAGAACATATGCAAGCCATTGAAGTCGGTGTTTCAAGATGGTGATACCAGTTGTATTGTCGTCACTGTGTCTGAACACACGATGCCGAACCTCCGTACTAACATAATGTTAACATTTTTGGAGACAATAAGGATCGAAGAAGGTCGCCTGATATCCTCAATTCCTAGAGGCCAGATCTCACAGGTAAACAGCAAATCTGTCACCGATGTTAGTAAACTTCTTAAACACATCCCTCTTCAATAGACAATCCTAGAGAACAGTCCTGTCCAACGAATCGAAGGCAGCCCTGATGTCAAGAAACACTACGGTTGTTGGCATTTGATAAGTATGACAGTGTTCTAACATGATCAATACATCTTCGAGCAGAACGAAAACTAGCCTGCTCCTCGCAAGTCAATCTTTCTCGGGTTTTGAACAACCTACGAAATATGACGGAAGCCAATAGCTTGGACGCAATCGGAAGTAGACTTATCCCCCGATAGCTGTTACAAGAACGACGTGAACCCTTTTTAAAAATAGGGACAACTATCAACTCATTCCACGATGTCGGGACACTTTGATTCCCAGACAATTTTTAACAACTCGGTCAGTTCCTTAACTAGAATATTGCCACCACCTTTAAAAATGGCTCGAGGTAACTCATCTGGGTCTGATAATTCGTAACGCTTCAGGAGTTGGAGTTCCTTGTGGATTTGCATTCGTTAGGTGGATCAGTCGTCAAAGGCCACGGGATGTAGGACAGTCTGATCGATATCGCCGGGGTAGGTGACCAGTTGAATCGCTCTTCGAAAAACTGGTCGTCGTCCAATGTCGAACTCTTTTCCTGCAGAAGAACACTTATCTGGTGGTAGAGTTCATCCGTGATTGCATCCGGGTCTGCAGTCTGTTGAAGCGTAGATGTAGATGACCAAAAAACACCGTTGCCTACACCGATAATATTCATAATTCAATGTTGGGATACATTGTATTGACATTGTTTAAAATCAGTTACAATGACTCACATGTATGTTTATTTTTATTTTACCTACCAATCTTCAATTTTGCTATTGTTTCATATATTTTGTTTCTTGGTTTGATTTTCTGTTCTCCAAAAGATATTGTTTTCATTTAGTATTTTACAATCATTGATATTACTAGTATTTATCCTTCGTTCTGTTATTTTTTTATCATGGTATTATTAATTATAACAATTTTAATCGACGCTTATTTTTATCAAATCCTTGTTTTACGAGTCACTATTGATTGCTTGGAAATAAACGTTTTTAAAATGATGAAATCGTTCAGGAAGTAGGAACTTCTAGGCTTTTTAGACCATTATATATGTTTCTTTGGGAAACAATTTTCTATTATATTCTTGCACGTCTTGTTAATTAGTGAATTGAAAAGTTTCAACTTCTATAAATTTGAAGTTCAATACTTGTTTCATCTGTAAATCTTGTCCTTTTAGGCTCTGCGCCATTGCGTTTATCTAAGCGAAAATCAAAGTCAACAACTGATAGTTCTGAGTCTAACAATAATGAGACTAAAGTGGCAATGTCATCAGTGGAAAATTCACATAATATTCCCACCAATATGGCTATAAATAGATCACATAATGGAAAAACTGTTAGTGGTGTACGAAAAAATGATAGTACGGAATCCGATATCAAAATAAATAATCAAATAGCATCGATCACTAGTGCAACCACTGTGTTTACTCCAGTCTCAATGATTGCAACCACAACGTCGGCATCATCTGCAGTTAATTTCACCCCTCTAACTGTTTCACTAACACCTACTGGTATGACTCAAACAACTCATCCGATTTTTGCAGCTAATGCTTCTGGTCTAATGTTTCCTACAATGACTGCTCATCATCATCATCTTGTTCAACAACAACAAGCAGCGACTGGAACTGTCATGTTACCAAGTGTCAGTGTAGCTTCCGTAGCAGCAATGCATCCATCAGGAATTGCTTACAACAGCAACAACATCAACAGTTTTTTGCCATGGCTGCTATGCCAGCTCTTGCTCAATCAATCACGGTCACACAATCATCTAATGGTGTTCAACAAGGTACTAATGTTCAACCTACACAGACTTCAATTCATTTTCAACCTGAATTAAAAACAGTAGCCACACCTTCAGGTCCTATGATGGTATTGACTCATATAGCTACCCCAAATCAGTCCGGTCAAGCTCATCCATTGGTCAGTTTCTTTTATTCATGTGTTATATTTTATAAAACTTATCTATCAATCAGTTTTTATAGGTTCATTTTCTTGGTTACTTCATTTTTTTATATATTGTTGTACTAATCATTTCACTGTTTATATTGTTCTCTTTTTGTCGAAAGTCGTTTAAATATTGGATACTGGCTTACTAAATTATATTGTTTGAATACAGTTAGATCATTCTTGTTTGTCGAGCAGGTTTCTGGATCTTCATATTTATTTTCTATTCTATGTTTTACCAAAAGTTGCTGATTTCATAATTGATTTGTTATTTTTAAACGAATATTGTTTGAATGTGCATTGAAACGATATCTGTTTCAAAAATATTTAGAAATATAACTGCTGCATTATTATTCAGATCAATTGTGCTAACCCTTACTTTACTAACTTAGTCTAACCTAATTTTATAAAAGTTGCAAAGTTTATAGAATCTTATTTTATTAATCATTCTTAACTTGACTTGAACGAGTGAAATCCTAAGAAATATGAAAAAGTCATCTCTCATTTTGTGTTGCATACCTCATTTAACTGAATATTCTCTGGTATAGGTTTAAGTATTCTCCTCTATGTTATTTTAAATCACTGTCCGTACCAATGATATATATCAGTCAGTACCAACGTAGAACTTCGTACGTACGTACATCAGTTCGAGTTGCCACACCACATTAGCACAGAGATGCAGTTGTCCATTCAAATCCCGTAGTGGTAGAGGTAATAAGAGTATAAGCAGTAATCGGGAAGATTAGGGTTTGGAGATGTTATATAAAGAGTATAATCCAGTGAAATAAATTTGGAAAGAGGAAAAAAGGGACATGGAGAATTCAGAAGATTAGAATTTGGGAGAACACAAAGAGTGGATGCACCTACGCCATTGCAAACGATTTTGAGCCATGTCATTCAACGTCGCTAACCATTGGTTGCTTTCATCTCGCGGTCCCCAACCAGGTAGACTACACTTACCAACATGACTCAGTCCACTTGTCAGTGACTTCATGAACTTGTGCCATGTTTTGGTTTGGCCGCCCCTAGCTTTCTTCCAACCTACTCCTATACCACTGAACATAGCACGTCGAGGCAGTCGGTGGTTGGGCATATGTAACACGTGTCCCAGCCATCTCAACTGATGAAGTTTCACTACTTCATCAATGGATTTGCCATCCTTACCTAGTGCCCGTTTCCTAACAACTGTGTTACTTACTCGATGGTCCCATGATATACGAGCAATGTTTCGAAGACACCTATGATCAAATACTAGTAGCCTATGAATATCCTCTACTCTTACCGGCCATGTTTCACTGCCATAAAGTAGGACGGAACGAACTGCTGCACAGTAAACACGTCCTTTGGTTGATAGACGGATATCTCGCCTACACCATTAATGACGCAAGTTAGTAAAAGCTAGTCGAGCCTTCTGTATCCGTGCTAAGATTTCGTCACACACCAGACCACAAGGGCTGGTGAGACTCCCAAGATAAGTGAAGCGGTCGACACAACTATATATATATATATATATATATAATGTCTTTCATTTAATGTCATACTTATGCGAGTGTTTTTAAATTGAGTAAACTTGATTATAACTCTCGAAGATATGTTTATTAGCATTCGTCTTTTTTTGTATCATTAAAAATAAGTACTTATAAAATTCTACTTTTTGATCATCCGTATTAAAATTATGGTGTAGATTCCCACTTGTTCGATCTCAATTTATGTAAATGAAATAATGAAATTAATTACTCATCCACCAAGTATAGGTTTGTTTAGTAAACTTCAAACCATATTGGAACTATGATGAAATGTAATTATACTACATAATTACCCAAATTGAAGCAAGTTCATTGGTGTGTTCGAAACGCCTTAATCACTGAGATACACCGCTTCAATAAGTGGAATAATCTTTTCCTGGTGAAAAAACAGTGCAATAACTTTGTTTATTCTAATGTA